AAAATGTGTCTAAATCTGTGCAGAGTAAACTTTTCTATCTGAACTGGGTAACATAGTGAATCCAGGTTGAATTAAATTCATTTATGCCTAATATTAGGTGAAGTTCCACTTTATTAGTTTGGCTCTAGGGTAGACTGTAGCTTAACATACATGTATGGAGGAGGCTAAGCATAGCATACATATTTATTAAAATTCACCCATTTCTCAGTTTACACCTTTTCTATCCTAGTTCTTGATAAGAATTATACAATATTACTTGAACCAATGCATCCCTAACCCTAAGCAATAGAACTCCAGTCATGAGTGACATTGTTTATCTGTTTCCTTATGCATCTGTTTTTATGGTACTCATCGTGAGTAGTGTATATTATTGTTTACTCACACTGATGCTAGTTCAAAGGCTTTGGGTAATTGTCAGGGTCTGCTGTGCTTAGACAAAACCTAAACCACATTTGATGTAAATTGATGTGAATTGAGAATTGTGCCAATAGAATTCCAGTTATTTTGTGATTCAGTGTCTCATACAAACCCACAAAGTTGTGTGGAAAGGGAACTTCACGAAGACAGTAGTGTCACAAAAAAACAGGAAAAGCCCAAGAGGAACATCAGGCCAGCCAGAAAACAAACTTACATAGGAAAAGGAATCAAATAAAAACTATTAAAGAATCCCTATAGACAAAAGCCTAAGTAATTAAGAAAACTAGACAAATAAGAAAAGGAAACAAAAAGATAATTTAGAAAACCCTTACAAACACAGGACATACCAAATAAGCAAAACAGACAAAAGACACAAAATATAAATTACAAAAGGGATAGACAGGAGATTTCCACAGAACAAATATGAAAAACTATCTTAAAGCTCAAAGAGATTAGAGAAAACCAATAATACAATCTAGCCACCCCGAGGAGTTTGCCTTCCGCACCCCGAGGAGTTTGCCCTCTGGCGGGAATAAAGACAAACTCAAACAGGATTTGAAACATTAAGCACAAATACAAACATTCACACAAAATCAACTTACAAAGGGAGAAAAGGGTATAAAAAACCAGGGACTTACCATAAGAAGTTAGCTAGCCCAGGAACGCAGATCCAGCTTTCAAGCAGTTGTCCGTATCCTTGTGCCGGACTCTCCCAGCGGGAAAATCGAATCCTCGAAAGAAAGGCATTTTGACACCTTTCAACAGTTGCATTGGAAAAGCCATAAGTAGATATCAGAAGGCAGAATGTAACTTTGAATGCAGTACTGTACAGTAGAGCAAAGCATATGTGCATTTGGTGGGAAAAGAATTGCAGACTCTTCTTAAATGAGGAATGAAGTCTAAGTGAAAATAAGGCAGACAATCTCAGTGGGGAAGGCTTTGATGTGTGGACTGTAATACAGTTAGTCCTCAACTTACAACCACAACTGAACTCAAAATGTATGTTGCTATGTGAGAAATTTGACAAATGAGATTTTTTGCTCCATTTTGCGACTTTTCTTGCCACAGTTGTAAGTGAATCACTGCAGTTGATATGTTACTAACTCAATTGTTAAGTGAATCCAGCTTCCCCATTGACTTTGTTTGCCAGAAGGTGGCAAAAGGGATCACATGACCTTGGGACACAGCAAAGATCATTTGATTGCTTATTGTATCCTATGACTACCTTATGATTCTTGACTCTTGACAAATGTATCTTTTCTTTTATGTTCACTGAGAGCATTTGCACCAAGGCAAATTCCTTTTGTGTCCAATCACACTTGTCCAATAAAGAATTCTATTCTATTCTAATTCTATTCTATTCTATTCTATTCTATTCTATTCTATTCTATTCTATTTATAAACATGAACCAGTTGCCAAGCATCTGAATTTTGATCACACGATCATGGGGAACGCTGCAAAAGTCGTAAGGGTGAAAAACGGTCATAAGTCACATTTTTAGTGCCGTTGTAACTTTGAAGGATCAGTAAAAGAACGGTTAAGTCGAAGACGGCCTGTACCGTACCATCCTCCCGCGCGGAGGATAATACAGGGCCTTTTTTTTGCCCCGTCTTGCCGCGCCGCTTTCCCACAGACAGGAGGCAGCCGAACCAGAAAGAACGGTCGGTGGCAGCGGACGCCATTGGGTTGCTATGAAGTGAATCCCGCCTTCCACAGTCTCCGCCCTCGAAGCGGGTGACTCGGCCGGCGGTCCGCAATTCTTCCCGGCTGGATCCCCTCCCCGCGGGATTGGCTGTCCTGCACCGCTCACGCGCTCGGCTGCGGTGGCTGCTTTGACGGGGAAGGAGGAGTTTGGGGAGAAGATGAAGGCAGCGGGCAGCAGCTGAGGCGAGGCAGGGCGAGGCGAAGGCGAGGGGCGACGGATAGAGCAGCTCGCGGCCGGGGTTTCTTCTCCAGCAAAGGGAATGGCTTACGCCGGGGCGGCGGGGGACGAGGAGCCTTCGCCCGGCACCTCCAGCCGCAGAGAGGACGAAGGCTACGGCGGAGGCCAGGCGGCTGCGATGCTGCGGGAAGCCCTCTCGCTGGAAGAGATCCTCAAGCTCTACAACCAGCCCATCAACGAGGAGCAGGCGTGGGCCGTTTGCTACCAGTGCTGCCGTTCCCTCCGCTCCGGGGGTCGCCGCGGAGAGAGCCTGAGCTGCCGAGTGGAGAGCCCTGGCGACATCCGCATCTGGAGAGATGGGACCGTCACTTTGAATGGAAGCGGCGCCACTCGAAGCTCGCCCGGAGCAGGTAAGACGGTGGCGCGATCTTAGACTCAGAAGCTCCGAGCCCGTCCACTTCCCTGCTCGGCTTTGAAGGGGTTTGCTTTCGGCGAGGACCCGTTTTCCCTGCATCTCGCCCACTTTGCCCCATTTGCTCGCGTCTCTTGATCTTGCTGCTGGATCCGGTTAGTCAGTGGTGTCTAAGGGAAAATCTCACCCTCCCTTCAGCCCGCCCTCCATCGGCATTTCTTTAAACTCTTGTTTCTGGTTTTATTTTTTTTATTTTTTTTTAAAAGGAATATGAATTGCCTCCGTTTGTGAAATTTCCCTCCCCTCCCTCTTTTCCTACAGTACAAAATCGCTTCTGGTTATTCAGTTTGTACTAAAACTGTTCCGCTTAGCATTGCTTCTTCATCCCTTCCTCTTCGCTACGATAACGCGCCTTTTTTCTATACACCGGTATATATAGAATTTTATATATATATGAAGATGTCACCATTTTGACATTCCCCCTCCCCCTCCCCATGCTGCATTATGGCTGATATATAAGCAAACACTTTTGAGTCTGCAGGATGGCCTGAGGAAATGATTTGTATAGATTTCATTTTGGAATAAAGGATCTAAAAAAAAAATCGTGCAATTGCAATGTTATTTTCTGGACCACAATATGGATGACGATAGTTGATTTCAGTCAGATAAGGCTGTATCTGCCTGTTTACCAGCATTGCTTTTGCTTCTTGCTCAAGCTAGAATTTTCTCTGCTCCTACTTGAAAGCCTGGAAAAGAAAGCTGCTCATATAGGTCAGCATGATGGTGGGGGAGGGCAATGCAAAGCAAAACAAAGAGAGCAGCTGTCAGAGTCCCAGCATGCTGTTAGCAGAGGTTTTAATGACTACTGGCTCTCTCTGTGTGTGTGTGTGTGTTGTGTATTACATCCAGACAAATCAAGTTGCTGATAATTTGAATGCACATTCTATGAATGCAGCACACTACATCCTGATCTTATAGTTATGTGCAGTCTTTCATGTGAGAAATACATTCATGTTCTAATATCTACAATACCATATTCTAATCGGTATTGTATATTGAAATTAGAATATAGAAAGTAGGCTAAGAATGAATACAGGAAATAAAATATGACTTGTTAAATTCCTCTACCAAGAGTGTACTTATGGACGATAATGCCAGACAGGTTCAGCAAATTATGTATAATTTTCTTTTCATGTATGTGAGTAATAAAATACCATATTTACTTAGTCGTGGTTGGGTTAGCATCTGTCTATAGTAGTCATTATAAACATACTTTTAGAAGTCATGTCAACATCCTAAACCAATGCCAACTCAACATAAAATCATTCTGTCAGTAAACAGATTATGTCCTTTTTTTTGTCACTCAAACATTACATAAGAAATGTGATACCTGCTGCATATCATAAAGATCCTAATTTTAAAATGGACAACTATTGAACAAAACAGAGCAAGAACTAATAAGACTTCAAATTGGGGAGTAAACAGAATTCAATATATGATTTTTATGCTCTATTGTATGGAGAATAATAGGGTAATTTACTGCTTAATATCTGCTTAATATTGCCCCCCCCCCCAATCTTTTTCAAATGAATTAATGAATTCTTAAATTCTAAAATTACATGTTAGATGAACATTCTTATATTAACTGGTTAGAGAACATATGCAGCTCTAATACAGTAACTGTATTTATGATGCATTTCCATGTCTGGGATTAGAGCACAGACTTTTCAGATGAGGGACTGTCCCTTCTGTTCAGGTTTTTGTACAATGCAATGAATAACAAAAATAATTCCTCAGTACTGGTTTATAATATTTGTAATAGTTACTGTATTCCTTATGTCTTCCTTCTTTTAGGTATTATATTATAAACTTCCATATTAGAATATCTTTATTGGGCTAACTAAGATTTTAAAAAATATGGAAACCCTGGAGATCCCCGTGCAAACAAGTAGGGTGAAAAAAGTCTGAACCTGTGCAAGTGATTATTTTTGCATCGACAGACTCTTAAAATTAAATATGGAAGAACACTGCAGGCATTCTAGTTAGGCTGAATTTATGTTGTGGGTTTCAGTTTATAGCCAGCATTTCTGTAATGATCAAAGAAAATTCTCCTTTTTAAAAAAATGTAACCACGTGGGATATTTATGTTTGCATTTAACAGCATGTTGTTGTTTATATTCTTAATACTTTCAAACATGTCAGTGTTACTGTCAGAGGTAAACAGTATTGACAATCCCCATTAAATTGATTCAGTAATATTACTATTTTAATGTTGAACTTACAAAGCATTCTACTGTATAAAATTTATAATGAGACACTGCAACATCAACTATATTATGCTCTGTATTAGAAAGATTGCCAGACATTGATGAATAAGATATATTACAGGTAGTCTTCATTTAGTGACTGTTCAAAATGACAACAGCACTGAAAAAAGTGAATTGTGACCATTTTTCACATTTATTTATTACAGCACCCCCTGGTCACGTGATCAAAATTCAGACACTTGGCAGCTGATTCGTATTTATGAGGATTGCAGTATTATCCCAGAGTTATATGATAACATTTTGTGACCTGGCAAGCAAAATCAATGGGGAACCAGATTCACTTAATAACTGTGTTACTAATTTAACAACTGCAATGATTCATTTAACAACTATGGCAAAAGAGGTCATAAAATGGGACAAAGCTCACTTAACTGTCTTGCTTAGCAAGAAAAGTTTTGGGCTCAGTTGTGGTTGTAAGTTGTGGATTACCAATTTATTCAGTGCTTTAATTTAGAAAGCTTTAAAAATGTATCTGATCATTGCAGAAAGATCTCAACATTCGTATACCATTATTAATCCAGGTCCACTAAAATAACTTTAACTCACAGGTTGTTTAATGGATTGTTAAATAACCCACAATTGGTTGGGATATTATTGTTTACAAATGGTCAATTCACATAACATACATAATCAGACAAAAGATACCACAAGTGGGTTAACTTAGTCTTAAAACTTCTAATATAAAATAAATATTTATAAATAAAATTAAAATATAGCAATTGTAATGAAAACTATGTGGTGAAAAATTAACATAAAGAATGTTATCAGATAAATAACACTTGCAGTAAGTTTTAAGTTACCACATGAGTAGAATTATTTTTGAGTTGTTAAATACAAAGGCTTTGGAATAAACTTATATCGAATTGCTCTGATAGCAATGTCTGTATTGGTTCTTTTTCTTAATCTGAAAAAAGGGAAGAAAATACAAATATTTAGGTTCATTTATATTGATGATAGGAATGTAATAAATCAAATACTTCAATCTTTTCTTTGAAGATTATATATGTCATAAAATTCCACAAACAAGTTGAGTGCTGGATTAAAGAAATTCAAATAGTTCATATAAAGCAAGTCATGTCATCTTACAAACTTCAAGAGAAAGAAAATTGTTAGGAAAGTTGAGTTTCTGGAATACCGTATTTGCCGGCGTATAAGACGACCCGGCGTATAAGACGACCCCCCACCACCACCGGAAACGCCCTCCAGAAATCCCCGGGGCGGCAGGGCAGAGTGCCAGGGGCCGTGGGAAGAGCAGGAAGGCTGCAGCCTCGGGCGGAGCGAGGCGAGCGGGATGAAGCGGAAGCGACGCAGGGGATCCAGGAAGCCAGAGGCGCCTTCGCTGCGTCCAACAAGCATCCGAAAGCCGGGAGTGGATATACCGGCGTATAAGACGACCCCCCCACTTGGAGGCATGTTTTTCGGGGCAAAAAAGTCATCTTATACGCCGGCAAATACGGTAATATATTTTAGAGAAGATAATATTAACTGAGTAATATAAAACACAGCCAATAAATCTGACTTTAGTATAACCATTCTGCTGGGAGTAATTCCTTTTCCGGGTGCTTTTTAGAGAAAGAATTCCACTATCTTGTCCTATCCTTCATATTTCTGTAAGTTATTAGAAAGTGCTGAGCTGAAAGAAAAACTTTCATTTGAGGAAAATAAAATTCTTATCTTTTCTGCATCATTTCCTCAGGTGAATGCTGAAAGAAAACGTAGGGAAATTGAAAAACAAGAGGTAGAAGATGTTTTTAAAACATAAGCTACATACAGATAGTTTTATAGAGTCTTTGCAATAATTAAGGGCAAGCTGTGGCGGGGAGGGGGAATGGGAAAAATGGATTTTTCATTTTGTATCCTTGACAGTTTATGAACTCATAGAAGAGAATATGATGACTGTCTAGGATCAGCAAAGTAGCATTCAGAGCCACATTTTCTTGCAAATCCAGTTTCTTTTAATATAATATAAAACCCAAACTTCTAACGTTATATCTTCTCTCATTAAAATATTGCTGTCCAGGCTATAAACAGAGAACTTGTATAACAGGAAAGATGCACTGCAGAAATGTGCCTGAAGAACAAATTACTGTAGTCCAGTAATTTCAGGGTTAATCTTGTCTTAAATCACTGTTTTGCATTAAATACTAAATATGTTTTTTAAATAAAATATTTGATGTAAAGCTGCAGCATGTCAAATAGATTGCACCTATATTCATACAATATGCTAACTTATGAAATAACTCAATTCCATGGGAATGCATAACCCATTGAACCAGAGGTGATATTCAGCAGGTTCTGACCAGTTCTGGAGAACCGGTAGTGGAAATTTTGAGTAGTTCAGAGAACCAGCAAATGCCACCTCTGACTGGAGATTTTACAGGATCCTTACCCTGCCACGCCCACCAAGCCATGCCCACAGAACCGGTAGTAAAAAAAATTGAATCCCACCACTGCTTGAATCATAAATTTATAATACTCCTTGGATTCACACTGTACAGATTAATGATCACATTTTAGCACAGTGTGTCATGTGAATACAGCCTTCAACCTGGATCTTATCTATCATTGCTAAATGAGATAATCATTCAATCTATGAATAATGAAATATAGTACAACTGGAACGGCACCAGGTTGGGAAAAATGTCATAATGTTTAATATATATGGCTGCGT